AAAATAATTGATTTCCTAAACCCTCTCTCCTTTCACAAAAGTTATCTTTCATTTATCATCGCAACTGGCAAATTTCACTAGCAATTCCCTGCGCGTTGAGCAAATTAAGTCTTAGCTCAGTCATATATCATTGGGAGTTAAATCTATAAGTCATTATTCGAGCTTTTGCTCCATATTAAACAAAGACTTTGGACCCAAAGCAGCAGCGCCCAACTAATTGATATTCTGCAGTGATTATCGTTTTGAAATTTATGCGACAATATGTAAAATATTTCTTTTAGCTGCTTGCGCGCTTCATTGTTTCCTCAACAAATTGCAATTGCAGCGGATTGTGCATATTAATTTTACCAGTCGCTGACGTAGTCACATTGTTCTTGCCGTTCGCTTGTGGCACGAGCCGCATTTGGTGTTGTAGCTGTTGCAGCTACTTAGGCGCCGCATCAGACAACTGGAACAATGCACTTTCAAATGATAATTGTTACAACTTTTATTGCTGATACTGCAAAACAACTGTTGCCACTGCTGCTTCTGCTGCTGTTGCTGGTTGCAAGTTGCTAGTTGCTTTTGCGGCAGCAACATTTGTCGACTGCCTGGTTTGCCATTGGTATTATTATGATTATTGCATTGTTATTGGCCTTTTATTGCCTCTGCACTCGATTTTCTTGTCTTGGCAGCCCAGCAAAGCGGAAGACACGAGCTTATGCAAAAGTACAGCTGCCATTAGTGTCACTTCGCCAATTGTTTACGGGCACACACTAAAAAAATAAAATGCTTAAAATTTAATTAAACTTAGTTCCATCTTAGAAAATTGATAATTCGAGTGGAATAATTGTATGTTTTACTACTTTATCTAAGCTACTGGAAATTATATTACAAAGGCACAAATTTAGTTTTTTGACATACAATTGCATTTAAATCAGCTTTGCTTGTATCTATAATTTTTTTCCTGTGCAACTCCTGCTAAAATTTCCATTATGGAGCCTTTCTGTTGGCCGTTTGATTTTTCCTGTTTTTTTTTGTTTTTTATCAGGCGCTTTTCTTTTATGAGGAGCTTGGGGCAGCAGAAGTAAAGCACCGTTCGTTGTTCTTTGGATGTTGTCGACCGACGTTGTTGTGATATTGTCAGCGCATGTGGGAACACCAACAACGGCGTTTTGTTTGCAAAAGCGTGCCGGGCCAAACATAACCGGTGTATGCCGAGAAGGTGGAGGTTGTGGGAGTGAAGTATGGCAAAAAAAGGTGGAAAAGGGGGCGGGGTCATGGCCTTATCCCGCCCTGTCGCTTAGTCAAAACAAAACGTGGCACTTGGACACGATTTTTGCTGTATACGCCGGCCGTGTGTTTGGCTTTGTTTTGCCAAAAGTTTTTGTTTTTTGTTGGCTGTCCACTTTTATTGTTTTGCGGTCTGCATATTATATTTGGTCATTCCGTGTTTTACCAATAACACATTTGATTTTTTTCGATATTGGTTTTTATTTATTGCCGCTGTTTTGACCATTTTGGGTCAGTTGGTTATTATAAATGAAATGTTTGGAGATTATGTGAGTTCAAACTCAAAAGCAAATGTCATTTAGTTGAAGGCTTGTCTACAGTGAAACTTTTTTAATATAGAATTTGGCCATGCTATAAACGTCCCGAATTACTTTTTGAGTTATTATGTTGGGATGGTCTTAGGAGAATAAATCAAATAAGTTAGATAATTTTAATATAACACCGGCTGACTTTGATGAGCTCCATGATGATCTCACGGGTTGCCCACAATAAACTTGATTGTTCTTTGACTATTTGAACATTCTTTGCCAAGCATCTTGATTGCAGATCTTAATATTTCCATGCTATTTTGTTGCCATCTATCTGGAGGCGATAATCAGCTTTGGTAACTTGTTTAGCATACGCAATTATTTATAAAATTATATCTGAATATGTAAATACTTGTATATGTTTGATATTTTAGCTGTATAATTTCGCATTCATGTCTGGCAAGCTCTGGCTCTGGCTAATTGACACTTAACATGGCTTGGAGTATTTTGAAGTTAATTGTGTGTCGACGTCAACGATGTTTCCACCACTCTCCTACGTCCAACACTCAAAACACATGTTGGTTTACCGAATTTTGTGTGCTTATTTGTATTTAAATTGCCATGCCGCTTGTTAAGGTATTTCTGCCGTTGGTTTCGTATTTTACTGCTTTTGATAGGTATTCTGCTGATATACCTGCAACTGCACAATAATAGTTCGGCAATATAAAAAACCAATAAATTAAAGCAATTTTATGTTCACGTTCTTTATTTCATTATCTTAATAATTGCTAACATAAAAAGTTTGTGTATTAATTAAGAAATAAACTTTGTAAAATATTCGCTAGCTTTAATTTAAATTTCAATGTTACAATAGTTTGTTTAAATCAAAGATTTTTCTATTAAAGAAAATGTTGATTTTCGGTATGTTCATTCAGATGGTCAGTCGCCAATAAATTTGTCGGTCATGTCATTCTTGCCGAAGATATTTTTGTTTGTTATTTTTATTTTTACATCATTCTGCCAACCATATTTTGCGATGTATACCTGCCGGGTAACGCGCTTTCGTTTGTTTGTCTTTGAAATCTTTATTTATTTTGGGCTTTTATTGCTTTCATTTTGTTCGACCAATTTTCGATTCCAATTGAAAACATCTCTTCACAAAATGAACAATATGAAGCATGCAAAATATTTGACAACTTTGTTCGGCTTGTGTTGCCAGACTTTGTTGACCAATAACTGAGTTGAGTGCAAATAACTTGACAATTTTTTTCATGTGAATGATAGGTTGATTTTTTCGAAGGCTGGAATAACCTGCAGGCTGGACTAACAAATTGTTTAAGTTAAGTGCTTATAACTGAAAGTGTGATAATAATTGGATGTATAGAGTTTGGTTGGGTATAAAAAGCCTACAAAAATAACTATGGAACAAATATGACTAGTGCATTAAATATAAGGTTCTCTTCTAACACTACGATTTTGAAAGAAAGAAAATAAAAATAAATAAATGCTACTAAGCTTGCTTGTTTATTTTAATAAAAAAAACCAGTTAATTAATTTATTCAGTTTCAGTTTCATTTGTAATTGTAGCTTTATTCTTTTGCGTAAATTTGTTTTACAAAACCAAACCTGAAAATTACTCATTAAACTACATACTTGCCGACGAATGACAAATGGAAATTTTCACTGAAATGGTTTAAATGTAAACTAGCGCTGGCATTGCGATTTAGGAAACAATTTGCCTCATTGCATGTTTAGAGATGCATTAATAATTAAAATGTTTCGCATTAGTTTTTCATGCCACTCGCATGTAGTCAGCTCGAATTTCAATAAGCACTCTAATTGTTTTTAAGTGTTTTTCCAGCAACGACAACAGCAGCCGTGTGCAACGCAAATGAGCCGTAATTGCATAATTCTAATTTAGCGACGAGTTCTAGGCACCAAAAACATGTTGACTACAATTTATGCACGTGCATGTGTGACTGAGTGAGTGTGGGTGGAGCTGCAGTAGTGTGAGTGTGCTGTCGAGTGTGTAGTCACTCATTTTACTTAATAACTCACTGCAAGTGCAGGTCGTTGCTGCACAGGAGTTGAAGTTTAGCCAGGAAAATAGGTGCCGTTTGGTTGGTGGGTTAGTGCATAGGGTGCATTGGGTGGTTTAATTACCAAAATTGTGCGGGGTGTGGGTGAAAAGATGTCGAGGTGTCGTCGGAAAAGTTTAACGAACTCGCATAACGCTCATGTGGCAGCAAGTGGCTCAAATGTTTCGCTTCCAAAATTGATAGTCAGAGATCAGTGGGAACCGAATTTAACACAAAATGTTAAAAAGTTTTCCTTTTGATGTCGTAAAGAAAATATGACAACCTAAAATGTGTTTTATTCAATTAGAGCCTAAAAATTGTTAAGATTCGTTTTAATTTTATTAAATATTGGGATAGAAAAACGATTGAATCTTAATAATTAAGTAAAGCGTACAACTTTAAATAAATTATAAAATGTAAATTAAGTGTAACAACCTTATTGTAAATTATAAATTAAACCGTACTTACGCATCAGTAGAACAATAAACAAAAAATTAAATGTTATTATTTTTTTAAATGTAAATAATTTCTTTACCTATGCTTACATTTAAATGTCAATAAAAGATTTGTATACGATCGCATGCAGTCATTGACGCATGCTTGTGAACCGACCTTGGTAAATTATCGGATTTAAATTTGCAACTTAAGTGTGACACTTATGTGTCACCTGTGCCGCAGATTGCATGAAATTGAAGTGGATATAAATGCATACATATGTGTAAAGGTGTTCTGTTTTGCGGATGAATGTGCATTTAAATCCTTATTGCGACACCTGCACAAAGCAAATACCAATTAAAGGCTTTTCACATGCAGTCCCATGCCAACTTTTGAATGGGTTGCTTGGTCGTTGGGGGTGGTAAGAAATTTGTGTGTGGACAAGGAGACCACACTTGCATGCCATTAAGTTGCCTCGCCCCGTACTCTCTTTGTTACACACAGAAAAATAAAGAACACTTTATCAAATTGTCTTTATATATTATTATTAATACATTTTAATTATTTACTGCAACTGCGAAAAAAAGTCCTCTAACTCTTAGAGTTGGTAAATAGAAACTATAAAGACAAATTTGAACTAATAAATGATTTACGAAATTAAAAAACAATATTAAATTTTGTTGTATAGAAAATTAAGATTAATTAGTTGTAAATCTATTTAAAGAGTATCCGTTTACTGGAATTGATGTAGAATCATTTTGAGAGTTTTAAGGTAGTGCTATGAAACAACTGGATATATTTTCGCTCCATGTTACCTTATCCACTTGAAAACGGAAAACAAACAAATTTCCCAACGAGTGGCTGACCGTGTCGTGCTTGGTCAAGTGCAATTTATTTGGCCCGGTCAGTCCGCCACAAAGGCCCAAAGCTCGGAGATCGGCTTACTGAACGTCTCCGACGAGCAGAAATGGGTCGAACCATAGATGCGGATGACTACGGCCGACGCGAGCGTGGATTAAGCGTCCTGTTCTGGCAGTTCGTAACCCACTTAAAGGATTACTGTGCCAATTGCACACTGTCCGGTTTCGCTTACATTGCAAATTCCAGGTGTGGTTTCAAGTCAACGCTGTTTTTGCTAGTAGCCGCAATCTGAGAAATTTCCTTTCGCCTCGGCATAGGCTGCATTACACAGAGCGCGTCTTTTGGCTGGCTTGTGTGGTCATTTCTTCTCTGGGCTGCTATATTCTGATCGTGGACTATCAACGGGATTTTCCCTCACGAGCTGTCAGCATTGTTTACGAGAGTCTGCCACCGTTTTCAACCTGGAAATTTCCCTCTGTCAGCGTCTGCGAATGCATCCACAAGTATATACTTGTTAAGAAATTGGAGCAGTACATTGGGAGGTTGTGATTAATAGGTAGGACGTAAGGTCTAGTCATGTAACGTATGATCTTTTTTCAGTTTGGGTGGCGACCTGGACGGGGATTACCCTTACGATGTGGAGGTCGGCTTATCGACTATTCTATTTCCCCCAACATACAACGAGGGCTCACTGAAGGGCACGTGCCCTACCGTCAGGAAATGCCCTACATGTGCATTGTGCCCTAATGGGAACTTTCGTCAAATCCTTAATTGGGTGAGTAGGTTTTGCAAGATGGTGTTTTATTTAATATTCATTTCTTGTATACCGTAAAAAAACGATTAGTTGTTATTAGCGTGTTTTGGTGTGCTAATTTAATTTATCCCATAATTTGCGAAAATTGAATGGATAATTGACAATTAAATGTTTATTGGTTCGCTGCTTTTATTATTTTATTTTTAACTATTGCTCATTGCTATTGCTATTGACGTTATTGAAAACTGGAATTTTCTTCAGAAATAGTGTAACGACAAACAATGTTATAGCAATGATATATCAAGTATATATCTCAGTGAGGGGCTGTTGGTCCGGGTTGTATAAAATATTTTTCATTAATTTTCCAGTATGGAGCCAACTGCTCGGACGTATTGGTCGAGTGCAAGCTCTCCGGACAGGCCTTCGACTGCTGTCGGTACTTTCGGCCTCTGCTCACGCCCTTTGGCCGCTGCTTTATGCTCAATTCGCTGCAGAACAACAACCCAGGCTCGAAACACTGGCTAAACACCGATTTGGATCCGGCCTATCAGGAGGCTAGGCTGGAGTTGATTATGAATATGGCGGTACAGATTCATGTGTTAAATGCGGAGGATATTCCGCACACGGCATTCGTGCCTCCAGGAGTTCTTCTCACGATGCCGGGGCAGGGAAAGTTGATCCAAATTAACCAGGTGAGAATAGTAAATGATCCGGATGTCAAGGAGGTCGAGCCAAAGATCCGCAGCTGCCTTTTCCCGGACGAGAACCCGCCATCCAGCGTATACAGGGCCTATAGCTTTAGCACCTGCATCACCGAGTGCGCCAGAAAAATCCAAATTGAAGCGTGCGGATGCGCATCGTTTTTAATGAATCCGACGGCCGATCCACGCTACCCGGACTGCAATCTTGAAGGTTTCTTGTGCTTGGAGGCAAATAGTCTGATGAAGCCGGATTCTAAGCTGCTAAAGAATAACAACAAGGGCAATAAGGATAGTTGCGGTTGTCTGCCGTCCTGCAACGATGGCGACATTCAAGCCATTTATGAGGGCCATTCCACGTGAGTCTCTTAAGGGAATTAATTTTATCTGAAAGTTATTGCTTGTAAATATAAGTTACGCTAGTTACTCCCTAAGTTTACTTGCATATTTTTATGTCTTATAATAATTTAACCACTAAAAAATGCTTGCACTTATCAGTTTAAAATGTCATTACTTTAATATTTTTGACATTTAAGGACCAGATAACACTTAATGCTTAATATTGAACCTTTGACAGATTTAACAGGAACACACAGCTTCGCAACGTAACAATATCTATGCCCGCCTTGCCAACAGATCAATTTCGGCGACAGGCGATTCGCACGCGTCTGGACGTGGTGGTCTCCATGGGCGGCATGCTGGGACTTTTCCTGGGGGCCAGCATCCTCAGCGCCATCGAGTTTGTCTACTATTTCACGGTGCGACCCCTGACCAACATGCTGCGGGCACGCTCAGCTCGTGCGTAATTGGTCAACTGCCAGCGGAAAATCAAACGCCACTGCAAGAAAATTCTGAAAAAAAAATTCGCAAGATAAAATACCACTCAAAATTATACATATTTTATTATATTTTATTAGAAAACACCATCAATTGCAAACAACGACTTTATAATACTTTTTTGATTCCGTGTTGTTCCAAAATTTAAAAAGCCGGTACATTTTGTATAAACAAGTAACTTAATTTATTCAATTTATCTAAATAAACCATTTTAATCTTGTTTTAAAATAATTAGCCTAAAAAATATGCAATCAAATAGTGCGTTAAAGATAATATTTATAATTTAAGAGTGTATTCGAGGAGTTCAAAGACAAATGGGTTGCAAAAGAGTACTGGAATACAGTCTCCCGAGTTGGTTGTGCCTTGACCTCGGTCACAAGCGGCGTATGCGCAATTTAAAATTTTTATTAAATATTTGCTCGGCTTGGTCACTGCAATGCGCATTAAAAATGCAACCATGGCATGCCGTCAGGATGCCAAGGATATTCGTAGCGAAAAGCGATGCCTTGCGAGCCAAGTGTGAAACTGAAAATCAATGAAACTCACAATTTGCACAGTCAGCAAACGCCTCTTGGCGACAACTGCAACCATTTCGCACACATATATACATACATACATATATATATATGCATACATATATATATATATATATATATATATATATATATATATATATATACCGTCGTGTATAGTATGCGGAATTGTGTCACCTCGGATTTTGGCCACCACTCAAGCTTGTTAGGTTTTTCATTGGCCTGGTCCATGTTGTTTAGTTTTAAATATTTAAAATTACACAACAATAAAAAATAGGCTAAAAGCAAACGAGAGAAATTTAATCACATTAATTCTCTGCCCCAGGCCCTTTCCTTTGCCTTTTGCCTTTTTGGACATTTTTGCTTTTGGTCACCTCGACAAAGGTTAATTAATTATGCTCTACACCAATTAAAGAGACACGAAATGGGCCTAAGCTTTTAGCGGCTGGAAAATTGGAGTGTAATGGGCTCAAAGTGGAATGTTGCACACTGTTAGAAGTGAGTCGTTGGGAATACTTGAAAAGCGAATTTGAAAATAACTAAATACTAATTGGGATGAACTAAAAGTAATTATAAAGATAAAACGATACAAGCACCAATACTTTTAAAACAAATATTGTAATTAATATCAATTTAATAATAATTTTTAAATTTAAACATAAATAGCTTCTGTGAAATAAATTAAATAACTAAAAAAATCTTTATCCAATATTTAAGGTACTTATCAAAATAAAAGTTTACTTTAACAACTCAAATACAAAAGCAGTGGCTTAATTTTTGTAATTTAATATTTGAGGCCTATTTTGTATATTTATTAATGTGTCAGACTACTCATTTATAAAATGAAATATTAACTTGAAGTCACAATAAAAAATATTTCTTTCATTTTTGCTAGCAAAACACATCTAAAGAGCATTAAAAGACTCCATAAAACTTAGCCGAACAACTTTTTCCACTGAAAGGACCGAAGGAAACGGAATAAAAATCTCTGACCGGCACTTGCCGCAAACTCATAAATAATACTCTCGCCTTTTCATGCATACATATATTTATATTTTTTGTTTCTTTGACTTTCTTTGAGCATTCCTTTCAATTTCATTTTATTCGCCGCCGGGACTTTGCCTTTTGCTTTAACACATTCATGTCCCGCACTCGCATTTATGGTGCATTTGTATTTGGCTTATGATGGAATTCCCCCTCGCTCACTCAAAGGTTTTCCCCGAACAAAGCGACCAAAGGGGAAGGGAGGTCAAACGAATTGCCGACCCGAGTGCAGTGAAAGTGTAGCGCCAGCAACAATGTTAACCGTATCTGTCCAGAAAAAGTTTGCCAGGACATTGTTGCTAGTGCCTGGGTGTATCATTTATCAAGCTCAGCGAAAAAAAGGGGAAAATGACGGAAGGACGACAAAAATAAAAGCAAAACTACAACAGAAATAAGGAAACGAGAACATTTTTGTCATGTTAAACTGTCAGAGTGCGCATTTAGTCATTACTTACGTTTTCCGCATTCCGCTCGCACTTTTCCTTGGTTGTCAGTCTCATGGAAACACCCACATATACCTCCGCTTGTCACACACTTGGGCGAAATGTAATTAAAACTTACCATGCAAGTCTGCGGTTGAGCTTGGCCATTAGCATAACGCTGAAAAGTATGCTACGCTACGTTATGTATAATTTAAACGAAACACCGCATCGTCATTTATCAAAACGGCTCGCAAAATGTTAATTATTATGTTTTATTGCCTCGGCAAGTCAGAGAGCGGAGCGGCGGTCCCTCTTTGGTGATTTTATTTCAGCGTTTTCCCGTGATTTAGCCGGACAGTTTGAAATATGCTGCCGGCATGTGGTCGGTTGACCGGGCCAAAAAGCCAGTATTGCGCCGGCATTGCTTAAATCATTCGCCATCTGACAGCCGCACACACCAGATTTTTATGTATGCATATAAATATAACTGTATAATGCCTTCCGGTCATTGATTTAAGCGGCGCCAAAGAAGTTGGATGCCCCGAACAAGTTTGAAATAATTAAAATTCAAATAACTTCATTAAAACTTAATTCGAGTGTCATGGAATTGCCAGTAAGTGGGCAAGCTCTTGGCTGCATTTCAATTGCAGCAATTGCGAATTGCGATTTGCCAATGGGAAGCGCTAAAATAAGCAATTGAAAGCGAACTCCTCCTGAAAGAAATCGTCTAAAGGCAATGGCGAAAACGAAGGAAAACTTCAGTTTTCTTTCTATCCAAGTAGCTGGGGAAATGGTAACTATTTTTCAATTACCTTTTTCGCACGCACGTTTGCTTAGTATTCGGATCCTTTGAGCAGCATATTTGCCAGCGAGGGCAGCGCTAAGACCTCCTGGGCAATGCTCTAACTGCTTGGAGTACTCAATTGACAGTCATAGCCTGGTTCTTTCTATGCTTATTTAAAAATGCATATCTTTGTTTAATGAAATTGCAATATTTTCCCACATAAGAAGGCTTGAAACCAATTTAAATTAACAGCACTTTGAATCAAATAGAGAATATCAATTTCGTCTAAATAAACATTATTCAATTGTTATGCCAGGTCTCATTTTCGCATTTATTTTCAATCGCCTTTTTTGTATGCCATCTCAATGCATATATACACAGGAACAAATATTAATAGTTTTAGGTCAATTTTCTTAACCTTTTGATAATTTTAATATGATTTGTTTATAACGAAATTTGCTGTGAATGCTATAAATGATAAACCAATTTAAGAAAAGACAAGCTAAGTTTATTTGGAGTATAATTTTAATACTGATTTAAACTCAGTTTGACGAAATCCAATTATATTCATAATATAAAAAAAAGAGGTTTTTAGAATAACCTAAGCTGCTGCTTAATTTTGAATTTAAGATTAATATTTAAAAAATTAAATTTGCTGCCTGTCATGTCTATTTTGAAGCGTAGCTCAGTTTTTGCCAGGTGCACACATGAACATGGATGGGTGTGTTAAGTGTTTGTAGTTAGTAGTTTTTCAATCAGCATGGCACGCCCACACATCCACAATATCGGAAACGCCCCAGCAAGCTGGCTCAGTGTTAACAATTGCCTTCTCTGCTGGGTAACGTTTTTTTCCCTCTTTTAAATTTCCCCTTAGCGGAAATCTATTTAAATTGAATTCTATTCTTCGGGCCTGCAACTCATGCTGAGGTACATCCTTGTGTCTGCTTCTTGGGTTGAAGTTTTGAAAACTTTTTGCCCAGCAGATCGCACTCTACGCATTGTGAATTATATTAAATCCTTGGCTGGCATTTCCATTTCAATGGATAATCATTATGAGCGTGAGCTGCTGTTTCTTTTACGGCTTCTGCTGTTGCTGACGGCACTTGCTGCCACATAGCATTGTTGCCATGGAAGCCATTTTGCAGCACCCAATCCCCATATAGTTATGTTCGCACATATATATACGGATATACGGATATATGGATGCCCGGACGGACACACACATGCTTGTGGATATTATGCATTTTTCACACATTTGTGTAGCATTTGATTGTGTTCCGTCTAGGTGTAAATACTTGCCTCTGGCATTTGCACAACGTTGCACAACGCAGCGTACGAGTAATATTTATTCACGCCCTGCCTTTGTCTGCCTTGATGGTATTTGTTAGAGTGCGTCTATGTGAGTGTGTGAGCTGGAGCATTCAGCATATGCCAAGCATAAACATAAGCAGGAAATTCATTTTTCATTTGTTTGCTTAAAAAGTTTCGAGCTGAGTTTCTGAGCGATGAAGATGCTGCTGCTATCGCTGCCACTGGCTCTGCATTATAAATATTCATTGCACACCAGCGTGCCCGAGAAATGCACTTATTATACACAAATTAAGGCAAGGCATCAGTTTTTATCTTTTCTCGTTTCGTTTTTGCATTTTGTTGTTATGTTTTTTTGGGGAGAGAGCGACTAGCAAAAACAAATTTGAAATTCCAACTAACGCCCGGCGCGTTGAGTGGAAATGCATTGCAATTTGCTTTGCCGAGCCAGTTCGACGGCCTTTCTAGCCGCAATGTCACACAGAAAACAATAAATTAATTTATGTACAAGATAAATGGGTAGGTATTTGATATGAACTTAATTATAATGCTCCTAACACTAACAATAAAATTTTAGACTTTAATGTAAAACTGCAGTTGAGTCTTATTACATATTTTTAAAATTAAAAATAATTCTTAAATTCACAAATTAATTGTTCTTCTTCTTTTTCGGAATCATCTGAATAAAAACGACCCACTAGATATAAAATTTTATATATAAAAACGATTGAAATTTACATAAAATTTGTACATAAAAAGTTTAAGTTGGTCGCTTAAAAATTCACACCTTTTAAGATTCATTTTTTTCTCTGCACGTTCGTGCTGCTCAAAGGGCCATAAAACATCAGCTGTTTAACGCACGGCATTTCGCAAATTTA